TTTCACCCGCGAGCCTCGTCCCCAGGTAGAGCTGGCGAGGCGACCTCCGCACACCGGCGCGTAAACACGCGCACAGGGGCTGCAACCGGGCACCAACACCCCCAGCCGGTCGCGACCATCAACAGAGTCTCTCACCCTGGAATCGTGCGCCGCGCCGGGCTCGGGACGAGACCTCCACCCCTTCGCTCGTCCAACACCAGCCCCGCGACCCTACGCCGTTTCCTGATCTCTTATCGGATACCGGCCCGTTATCGCGGCTCCGATAAACACTTACCGGCGAGCGGATTGAGAAATGCATCCCGTCCCCGACCTCCTTCCTTCGCGCTACGCCCGCCCCTCTGTTTGCGCGGGGTAGCCGTTCCGCGCGGATTCGTTTCGCGCGAACGAGAATCGGGTGAGTGGAGTCTGCCGACACAGGCGAGAAATATTCCGTGGAGGAGCCGCTGAACTTCCCGAAATGCATATTTATCGCGAGCACCCCAACCTCTCGCGATGGAGATTAGTTCGGAGGTTAGCGAGGTCTTGCGCTACTTTGGTTTTGCCTGTTTCGTGCAGACTTGTACACTGATTTTGTTCAACTGTTCTAGTATGCGAAATGCGAGAAGATTGCCGATGTGCGAGACGTCATTGGTTATTTTGGGACCAAAGCATCTTGAACTCGTGTCCTGTGTAAACAGTAGAGGGTAAATAATGTTACATGTAGGAACTCCAGTGGAAGAAGTTACGGAGAATGTTCGAATTCGTGTAATAATTTCTGTTCGAGCCCGTAGCCCCTAGAAATCGAAATGAACACCGATTTTCTTAGGAACAATAGGAGAAACTGGGAACAATGCTTCGAGCAGTGAAGAGGAAGTCAAAGGATTCCCGGCTTCGGTCTAGAAAACGATACCCTTATTAATCTCGAGGAATCTCGTTACTCTCTCCCGAAGAGAAGAGAATTTTCCCGTGAGCCCGATACGAACACACCAGTCGATCGCTCGAAAAGGAACAAAATATGGCGTGTGGGTTGAGATGACGATTCTCGGTACGCAACGCTCGCGGAACCCCCCGCGAATCAATACCATTACCACCGTCGGCAACGTTGCGTCTCTCGCTTTCCAATGGACACGCGTAAACAATCGCGGGAAAGCGGAGGGAAAAGAAGGAGGAAACGAAAGCGGACCGGGAAAGAGGGAGAAAGAAAATGTTTACAAAAGTTCGACTCTAAATAGAGTGTGATGTTCGAGGGGTGAATCTTACCGGGATGTAAAAAAAAAGAAATATGTATGGCGAGGGGGTAGAACGCGGGGCCCTCGGATACGGTTTATACGAGGCTGATGACGAGGGTGGCGGCCAGACAACCCCTGTAGCCTAGGAGAAACCCGAGCGGACCCGAATTTCGACGAGCACGCACGACTCGCTTTCGCCCACACGTACGACCGTGGGCGGGGACCGACCCCGGTTGCCCGGGCTTAACCCCTTTCGCAGACACTTGTTATGCAGCGAAAACGTAGCTGGAAAATTGCATCTCCTCGCGCAAGCTTTTCCTCTTATTGCAAATGGCTGATTAAATAATCAAACTATGTAATACGGTCACACTGTAGAATATGTATGAAAGTATGTGACAAAGTCACATTGTAGAATATGTATGGAAGTGTGTGACAAAGTCACACTGTAGATTATGTATGAAACTATGTGACAAAGTCACATTGTAGAATATGTATGGAAGTGTGTGACAAAGTCACACTGTAGATTATGTATGAAACTATACAATGAAGTCACACTGTAAAATATATACTGTCATATATACAGGGTGGAAATTATAAAGCGTTACAGTCGAGTATCTCCGAAAATATTGATTATACGCAAAAATATTTCAGACGAAAGTTGTTCAATACCGAGGGGGATATCATGTGGTGGAACTTTTATTTTTCCTGGTGAACACTCCAAGGTGAGGTGAAGGCAACTTTCTTTTTTTAAATGGAATGATACGTTTTTTTATCTACCATTAAATAATGTGTTTTAAGACGAATTCAACGACCTATGACTCAAGGCCATTCAGGGTGAAACTTGTAGGGAAATGGAGAAAAAGTGTGGTCGTTTTATTATATATAGTATATATATATATGATAGTGACAAAATTCAGACGCATCTGGTTGCCTCTATCGCTTTTGTTTAGACTAAAGATATACGAACGTTGGGCATTTTTGCTTTTGCTAGCTTAGCATTAGCAATAATTCAACACCCGCCATTTCGATCTTCCTATACCGAGGATCACTTAACACATTGTACGCCGGTTAAGTTTCAGCTACTAGAAACGCGAGCGCCGGTGATTCTATTGATATATTTTTAACCCTTTGCGGACGAAGGTTCGTTGGAATGCACGAAACCCTCGGCTGATGAAGTTGAATTGTATATCGATCGCTTAACGCGTTGAATTTACAAAGCAAAATACACAGAACGGAAAAAAAATGATATTAACCCTCTGTAGGGCGAATTTTTGTTCATGATTATAACAAAATCTATGCAGTGTAAAATTAATAAATATCCACATATAAGTAGGAATTAACAATATATTCAATAGTTTCAGTAATATCATCAAACGAATGTATTTTGTAACTTTCAAGTTACAATGACGTTAAACTTTCACGCCTGTTAACTGATTACTTAATTTTATTCGCCACTTTGAGTGCAAAATGAAATAAATCAACAAGATGCCAATACACTGACATGTGACTTCAAAGTTATATGGGCCTACGGAGGGTTAAGTCATTTGCTCGGATCGCATTATTATTATTACGTTGATCAAGTTAAATGGTGTCGTGTTAGCTGGGGTTATTTATAATATAGAAATGTGAAATAGTCGTCGTTTAATTGAATGAACTATAGTAATTCGATTTGGCTGGAGGTCACCGGTGATCCCCATGGCATTCGACGTGTTAATTAATAGGAAAACAAGAAACTACTGCTGAGCTCTTGCTGTTTCACTAATTAATCATTTGCTCGCGACTTAGTCTTCCAAATATGAACAATGATCTCGTCGGAATGTCGACATTCAATTGCAAACAATTAAACAATCGAATCGAAATTTATAATTTACGAAAAAGAATGAGGAATTCGATTCGACAGTATTTGCTAATGGGAGCTTGATATCCTGTAGACTGCAGTTCGTGTGAAGGTCGATCGAAGGTCGACGTATAATACATCGATAAATTTATCTTTGTACAATACCGGATATTATACTAGGAAAATAGTAATTTCTTTTATAAAATTGTAACATAAAAAGCAATGAAGACTAGGTTCTAATCTTATTCGTATCACCCTGTATAGACACGTGTTCGAAACTCGTTGACTTAGAATTATGGTATCGATTCTCGAATGCTACAATTTCCCTTAAAAAATGGTCGACGAAAGGACAAGGATATTCGTCATATATAGTATAATTACTATAATTAGACACTTTCGTATAAATTATATTTATCATTTACGAAAATAATGTATAAAAATGATTACCGATCACTCAGAACAAATAAACATACCTCCGTATGTAAATTAGTTACCCAATTGCGATCGTATCGATTACACATTACAGTGCATTTACACTAAAGCAAAGAACATTTTCGTCGCCTGCTTCTAATTGATACTGTTGTTTCATGATAAACGTTAAGCTAAGAAATTCGAATTTCATCGGATAGTCTATCATTACTTTAACATTGTTTTGAATGAAATGGTAAACCGAAGCGGGTATTTCCAGTCGAAAGAATGATTCAGTGATGTACGAATACTCGTATTGCCCAGGGCATGTACTCACCGATTGCAGCCACGTGATGCATTTCCTTTCCACAGGAAGGAAGAAACGTTGTTTAGCACCGGGAGATTCCGTGGACGATTATAATCTTGTCTCTTCGTTTACTGGCGAGACTGACGAGCGGTAGTCGTGGATACTAACACACCGAGCCCGTAAAAATTTGAACACACGATTTGAGGTTATACGTACGAGCTGCTTAACGCTTCGTACTACCCTAAGATTCCCAATCGTACTTTACCGAGCACGAACTTGAACTAAATAAATCGCCCCGAACGTATTATCTTCTGAATTCTCGGCGAACGCGAACGTCACGAGTCCCGAAAGACAACTACTATGTGTGTCCGTATACAATGGCACATTGTTGACGGTACTGTGTTCCCCGCGGTCATCCGCTTTTTTCGATACTTTCCGACGGGCAAAAACAACAGAGATTCTTCCGAGAATCAGACACCGCGCGGTACACACACCGAAAACCTAATTTCTGGCGAGCATGCTGCATTACTTCTGTACATGGTCGATAAACATAACGATCGAATTTTAAACAACAGTTTGAATCAAAAAATCCTCGAAGAGAGGAAAGAGATATTCACTTTCTTGTCGTCAGGTGTTACATCTTACTTGAAAAGATATTTTTTTGATGCACAATAAGAACCAACTTAGGAACAACGAGTACTCAAGTGACATTTAACTAATTACACAGGATAATTACGAACGCTTTACTTCTTTCAATTCCAATATCACTACGCGGGAGATCCATTCGGCACAGTGGCGCCACCTGGTGTGCACCTTTTTAAACGCTTTCCTCTTCGCAGAGTTTACATTCCGCTATTTGTACCATGGGAATAACGTTTTTATTCAATTTTTTGAATTGCGGAATTGTAATATAAAGCTTTGAAATATATACTTGAACAATAATGTTAATTTCTTCTTCTCAGTTCTCCGTGATATCTTTCGTGTAATTTCTAAAGAATAATTGCAATTCGTTGAATTGATTCTTAATGAATTTGAATGTAAACCTGTGTAAATAGATGAGAAGAAAATTATGAAATATTTTACTGTGAACGAGGCAAAGATAAGGATAACTCCAATCAGATTTTTGAATGCGAATTTTAACGGTAGTGGAGTCGCCTCGAAGCGCCATCTCCGAAATATTTCTCGAGAAAATATTCACGGACACGTAATGGTTCCGTCTTGCACAGACGCCGCCATATTGTACGGGAGAAACGAGAGGCGCAACCACGCCATTGTGCACATCACGCGATTTCTCGTCCGATTGTAAGAACAACGAGTAAGGTAAGTAAATATTGAACAAAGAAGTTCGCTACAGTACAAAGTTTACGTGTTTGAAAATTTGATAGCTTCAGAAGGTTGCAACGAATTGCAACGTCGAGCAATGCTTGTTAATCAACGCCACGATGTTTCGTTATCCCTATGCGGACCTGAATTTTCTATTAGCCCTTTTTGCATTGCTTTTGTATTTTTTCTTTTTTTTCCCTACTAAAAACGATAGTATTTCACTTTTCCGGGTTAATATTGTTGGTAAGGTGTATTATTCACGGTATATTATATTTCACAGAATACAGTGCGAAGCTTCGAGCGAAATCTGTCATGTTCAGTCCAAACGTTTATGCAAAATGTATCGTTTTAATTAGCAACGCGTTTCCTCGATTTATCTGAGGTTGTTGATTAAATTGTGAAATTCTAATGCATCAATGTAAACCTTGAATCATACTTGTTATAATTATCTTTTGAGTCTATATGTATGAATTTATGAAATTAGAACAAATTTATTGTTACTTTTATACATATCTTTTTATAACATGCTGCTTTCGTTCCGTTCTACATTACAAAAGATGATACGAAATGAGCAGTGTTAATTTAATAACTTCTTGTTCACATTGCTTTAATTGAATTTCAAACGCTTATAGTCTTCTAGCACGTATAATTTAATTGACCGCTTAGAATGTTCTACTGTCTGAAATGAGACAAGTGTAATTGGAAATGCTAGGTCACAGATTATAATTTTTTCTTGAAAATTTGTCAGTATGAGACTAATGCCAATGGTATGTATTCTTGCAGGAATTATTTAAATGAATGGACAACATGTACAGTAACAACATTGACCCCTGGGAGCCAGGTTATGGGCCTGAGAGAAGAGGACACAATACCGATTATGACTATCGCAATGATTATGGAAACAGCAGATCACCGGATTATGGGGAGCACCGTGACAATGATCATCGTGATAGAGACCATCGTAGTCCAGAATATAGAAATCATCGGGGGAGAGACAGAGACCGTGAAAGAGATCGTTCAAGAGACAGGAGAGACAGGAGTAGAGATGATAGAGACCGTAGCTACAGAGACAGAGAGGATCGATATGGAAGACAAAGGGATAGAGATTCCGTAGAAAGAGACAGGGATCGGGACCGAGATCGTGACAGAGACAGAGATCGTTCTAGGAGAGACAGAGATAGGGATAGGGATAGGGATCGTAGAGGGAAACGGGACGACAGAGATCGGGATCGCGATGATGATCATAGCAGAGAAAGTATGGACTTTGAGCATGACCATGGACGTACTTATGGTTCGTCCATGGAAGGCATCCACTACAAATCTCAATCTCCAAACAACACCATAATGATTCGTGGGCTTGCTCAACATATAACAGAAAATGACGTAGGTTGTCAACTTAGCGGCCCAACATAAGTGGCCACTCGTGAGCAGCATTTGCACGCATACATCACTGTTATTATTATGATGTGTGTATCACAGGTGCGGCAAGACATCCTCAACTGTGGTCTCATGCCAAAGGACATCAGGCTGATTCGTAAAAAGGATACAGGTAATTATCCTTATTTTCGTTAATTAAACCTATCCCCTTTACCTAATATGCAAACTAGCAAATTGCTTTTCATCTCAGCAGGTTGCATTAGACTTCTGTAGTTTAAGTTATTGCTGCATTATTCAATGGTTACCGAGAAAGAAAAAAAAAGTGTTTGAAATTTCTTGATAATCATTCAGATCGACGATGCCGATAATTAACATTGACGCCGATCGAAAGAGATTTCAAACAACTTTTTGTTACATCGGTTAAAGATCTCTGTTAGTATTTATGCTGGTACCAATCATGCATACTCCAAAATTATTGAAGAAATACAATGAACATAAAACTATCAATTGAATATAATTCATTCGTTCATTGGACCAAGGTAAGTCTATATCAAATGCAGGAAGAATATTTTAAGGAAAGTCAAATGCTTCATTATTCATCTTGCAAGGGTGGCGCAAAATATCTGTAATATTTTCGAAATCCTACAATTCCAAACAATTGAACTGTAAATTTACCAACCAACTCTACTCTATATTAGAAGCTATTCAACATTCCAAGTAATATCTAGAATCAGTGTGAAAAAAAAAAGATTACCGTACTCCATTGTCTCTAGTGCGTACGCGATCCAGTCTTTTCTTTATTTTATACAAAAACATATCCTAGCTGTCTTACAACACGAGTCTTCACTTTTTTTTGTTTCGTCGACCGCGTCAAAAACTTTTACGATGGGAATAATGTCTTGCATAAAATCTACAATATTATTTCTTCTATCTCTCTTTGCTGCAAAAAAGAACATATGGTGCAAGGGGTTGGGGGAGAGACTCTAAGAGACATTGGAAGGTATTAACACGTTGAACGCCGCACGATTCCACAGAGCAAAATACTCAAACTGAAAAGAAAATCAAATATCAATTACAAATGCTACATCAGCTATCATTATTTATATAAAAATATTTCCAGATGAACGTAGTTCAATTGAATGAACTGTAGTAATTCGACTTGGCTGGTCACCGGTGGTTCAACGTGTTAAACCAAAAAAAAGAAAAGAAATTTCGGTCGTAAGGGAGAAAAAAGAAATTAACGACAGAGATCGTTTGTCATCCGCGCATAGAGAATAATTCGTTCCGCCGAGCTTTAGGCAAATGGAAAAGAAAGCAAGCAACGAAGCGAAGAAAAATACACTTCGTATCGAAACTCGGTCTGTCAATGGTTGGTGCTGTGATTGCCTGCCCTCTCAGAGTAGAGACACCCAGGCAATACGTGGATTAACTTTGGATATGTGTGTATTTGCTCTGTATAGGTGCTTCGCGAGGTTTTGCATTCGTCGAGTTTAACGCGACTCAGGAGGCCGCACGGTGGATGGAGATGAAACAGGTAGAAAGAAGTTCAGTCCAGATACCCAACCGATGCGTTGTCACGCGTGCCACCGACGCCCCGTGGCGGCAAGGCACGGTAACGCAGCCCCCTGGCCTTCCCCATGGCCATGGCTGCGCACCTATCAAAAAGGCTACTTCAAATCTACCGTACCTAATTACTTATCTAGGAGTCCCCACATACTTTGCAGACTTTTCTTAACTTGCTCTCGCAGTTCCGTCTATTCGGATTTAGAAAGACAAAAGAAAAAAAAAGATAATGCTAATTTCTTGAATCGGGACAAAGCTATCGAGTAATCGGGTAAAAAAAAAGAAAGATAGAAAAAGGGCGACTCCTCGTCGCCGCGTGCTTTTGTTTTTTTGTTTATTTTTTTTTACCTATCCTCTGTCTGTCATAAAAGTTTGTGGACTAACAATGAAGATCGGAGGAGAGGGTCATTCCAATCGTCTTATCCTTTGCGTACAAGTGCATACGTTTATCCGGCATGATGGTTGATTTTCAATGAATCACACTTTTTTTGTTTCCGCTGCGTTCGTTACGACCGAGAGACGCTTACGTTTATTACTTGTATCGTGTTAGTCTGCTTCTATCGTTTTAAAACTTTGTTACTCTATCTCTATCTCGCTCTTGCTCTGTTCTTTTACACGTACACACACACACACACCATACACACACACACACGTACAATATATACACGGTCAATGCAATGACGGTATACGATTCGAGCATATTTGAATATGAGAATGACAATTTTTCTGCACGACTTTCTTTCATTCACGTATGAAATTTTGTTACTGCAAG